AACTCGGGTGATAACGGTGCCGGATGTTCTGGGCAAACAACAGCTGGGCAAACAAGTCATGTTCTGTCTATCTCGCAATAAAATTGTCTTGGTCATCTCAAATGCGTACTTTCTGCTCCCCCCGCTCCCAGTGCTTAACTAGCTGGGAAACATTAAATGGTTGCCACTTCCCTAAGCACAGGGAGAGGGGTTTTCGGTGGGGGTTCCCACTTACTCTGTGGCATCTTTGAATGAAACAGGCTTGATTCATCTCGCAGTGAATGTGCTGTTAAAATTTTTCCTGGGTTAGGTGTTACCCTGTGTTGGCTCCCAAATACCATCCCAAGTTTGTTCAGAGTCTCTAAAGTACAGTGTTTCACTTGCCTTTTTACGGGTCTCTGTTTTACACCAGAAAATCTCCTTATCTCTGGGTGATTTCCTAATGGATAAGAAAATAGCTTGGGAGTTCATTTACTGTATCTTGCATTTAGGCGTAGCACTGAGCAGCATCAAGATGACTCAGTTGGTAGTGAGCCTTTTACTGGTGTCGTCCTTTCAAATCCCTGTTGATGGTGACCAAAAACCGTGGCACTCGGAAGATGCGCTTGCTAGGGGACGCTTCTCTTTCTCTTCCTTCAGTTAAGTGGGAAGATTTCCTATTTGTATTCTGGTGCAGAGAGGAGGATGATTTTTTTTTTGCTGATGATGTGTGATTAGCTGCTGGAGGCCAGGATTGGCGACTGGGTCTGGTTGTCCCAAGCAGCCATGTCCAGGTTGCAGGCTCTTCGAGCACATAATATGGCTGCTGGTAATCACGGGCCCGATATCTGAAGCACCTCTGTGGTTTTGGGAGCTCTTGGCGTCTCTACCTGCCAGTCCTGTGAAGGAGCATGCAGTTGCCTGGATGCACAAACACGAGCTGGTTTACCGTGGCCCCTGGCAATTGTTCACTTGCAGAAGTGCAAGCACGTGGTGGAGATTTAGGATGTAACTATGGCAGTGGGGAGGAATGTGTGAAAAGAGCTTGGAGATGTCAGAGCACCCGCTCGTGAGGAAGGGCCACGTTAGCAGAGCTGTTGGCTAGCAGTAAACAGTCCTGGCACCCTTGTTTCAGGACTTGGCAGCAGCAGGAGTTGAACCGCGTCCAGCTTTACTCTCTACTGCCTGTTCAGTAAGTTGAGGACAAGGCAGATGATTAAGGAAATGTGGGGAAACTGCTACAGAAGCTTTTGGAAAGATAAGAGACTTTGGTCTCCATGTCTGACAGTCTGGCACTTCTCACTAGCATTGAATTCACATGCAAATCAAAGGCAACATCTACTCCCACAGGAAGCTTTATTAATGTACAGGCCTGCTTGTGAATCTCCGTGCTGATGAAGGTTGTGGGACTGACTTCACTCTCAGATTAATTTCCCTGTCTATCCTTGCTTGAGCGCTGTGCAGCATCGGCAGTCTCAGCAGGGCTCCCACGCCAGCATCCAGTGACGGGCTCCACGCAGGAGCAGTTGCTGCGTGGAACCAGAGAAAGGGGACAGAGTTATGGTGCTTGCCGGCTTGGATTAAAGGGGATGTGCCGATGTAATGATGACAGGTGTCTGCCGGGCTTCAACCGACATCAGCGAATTAATTTCATGAAGGCACTCCGAATGGGCTTGAAATACTTTGCATATAAGAGGAAAGAGGGCTGGTGCTTCCTGGACTGAGCTAGCCAGCTTTCTTCTGCACATCCCGTTGTGTGTAAGGAGCGCGGAGGAGACTTCAAAATGGCAGGGGTAGTGCTTGGTCCGGGATGGGAGGGAGGAAAGACTGAGCAGGGAAATGTAGAAAGGCAAAGGGACTTGGGATCCCTGGGTTCACCGTACCACCAAGGACACAGTAGCTACTTGATGCAGATGTTTGGTAAGAACTAGATCTGAGCTATAAACAGCCTTCCACATCTTAAACCCAAGCTCATCTGATGCTTAGCTTTTATTGCTGTCGGTTATTTATAGGCGGAAGAGCGGAAGACCGAAATCTTGAGAGAAGAGAGATGGGAAATGGCATTTCAAGCTGCAATCCCCTGAGCTGTCAGCTTGTCGCCATCTCACCCGCCCCTGCCCCTCCGTGCAAAGCAACCCTTTGCTGTTCCTGTCCATCCGGGCTCCTTGTACCTGTGATGCTCCCTCCAGCCAACTCATTCATTATTCTCATTCTTTTTAATCTTTTCCTTCCCTCCCTGGTCCACCCTCCATGCCGGTCCCTCCCTCTCGCCATTGCTGGTCCCACCAGGTCTCATTGCCAGGACAAGTGCCAGCTGGACATGGAGCAGGGTGGTGTAGATGTCACCTCGAGTGGAGAGCCTGCACAAGGGTGGGTGTGCGGGGATGTGGGTGCTGTGCAGGTGGGACTGGAGCAGGGACAGAGCTCTGGTTTTACTCCATCAGAGCCTTGCTATTACGAGCCTGGCCCTGAGGGCAGAGATCTTCATTGGCATGGGGTCAACCGTGGTAAGGGCTCGTGGTGGCAGCGGCCACCTCGCCGAGCTGCACAGAGCTTCATGGCCAGCTCGAGTAGAAAGCAGGCATTTCTTGCACGGCTACTTGTTCTGGGAATCTTCAAAAATTTCTGGCAGCCAATTTTAGTTGTGCAACCTCTCAGCTGCCAGAACGGATAGAATATGATTATATCACATGAAATGCATGCAGGGTCTGCTATAGCAACTGTATTTCAAAGAGACAACACATATGGTGACTGGTTCTTTTTGGAATAATATCTATAAGTTGATGATGTTTTATTCAAAAAGGCTGTAGCTTGAAAGGTTAGGGATGTTCTGATTGTTTAGTGTATGATTAAAGAAAGGCTTCTGTGGTTTTTTTTGGCCTATTGAATCTAATTACTGGGAACTAAAATGATCATTTGATTGCACATTTACCTGGAATTATTCTGCTGCAGAGCCAGTCTTAATAATATATAATAATATGTTGCGCTTGTACTGTATAGCGCTTCTTGTCTGAGCAACTCAGAGTGCTTTACAAGTATTCATTAATTAAATAAGCCATACAACACCCCTGTTAAGTAGGTGAGTATTTGTTGCCCATCCCCTTAAGTCTTGTAGGTTTTATTTCTGCTGCCTCTGCCCACCCTTGAAGATGCTTTAACAGCTAAATAAGCTAATTCAATAAAAATAACATTTTTTTAACCATACTTAGTACTTTCTGCATAAAGGTTTCCTTTGTTGCATTGTATTAATTGGTAGGCTGTAGGGTCTTCTGGTTCTTGATGCTGAACTGTTGGCGGGAGTGGTTGTGCAAGTGGGAGCACAGAAGCATGCCGGCCCTGCTAGTGTGCCTGTGCCCGGCAGCTCCTTGCACCCCTTGCGGGGACATGGACCATTTTAGAGATGCTGTGGGTGTGCTGAGCTCCGACCAGCTTGAAATGCCAAATCTCATTTTACCTTCATTGCACCAAGCTCTGTTGGAAATCATGTCCACCCTTAAAGAGTTTTTCTGATCCAGTGGAGACTTGTTATTAAATTTGAAAGGAGGGCTCGTTGCCAGAGTGCAGTAAGGTCTCTCCTCCCTGCTTGCCCTGGCATGCTGGCCGGCAGCGGTGGTTCTTCAGCCCTCTGGGCTGCTCAGTGTCCCTTCAAAAGTAAAAAGATGGGCCTAGGCCATAAAATAACAAGGTTTTACTGGGGGGGGGGTGGTGGATCTGAGTTTGCAGTCCTTGGTGTCAAACCTTTCCCGGTGGTTCTGCGCCAAGATGTGCACTGTGCAACTTGGAGAAGCAAGTGAAACCCAAAGCGTATCTGACTCCTTAATTAAATAGGTATTAATTAAATCACTCAGAGAGCATACACAGTAGGAGTGGGGAAAGCTTTTTCCCTTCTTCCGTGTAGGCATCTTGCAAAGGGACTATTTTTCTTGTTTTACATTAATGAAGTCTTCAGCCTTCCTACTTTTCCACCTACACATGTACTGAACGTCTCCAAGGAGACCAAGAAAGCCCGAGTCCGGCGCTGGTGAATCCTCCGGGAACAGTGGGATCGGGTCTTGCCAGAGGAGCCTCAGCTGTGCCGCAGCCCATCTTGCAGGGATCATCCTTGCGGTCCCCTGGCTGAGGGGCCAGGAGGGACCTGGAGCAGGGACTCACTCCTTGTCCTGCTTTCCCCCATGTTCCATCTCCTCTTGCTGTCTTTTCCCCACCTGATGGAGAAATCGGGCCTTGCAGAGGGGCTGGCTCCAGTGTCCAGGGGTGCTTTTCCCTTACTTTGCACAAAACTTTGCAATAATCCCTCACTGTATGATGCTCTGCTCATGCTTTTGGGATCGTGTCCCTTGCCGTCCATCCCTTGAAGCCACACTGTGCCTTTGCTGCTCTGCCTCGTCGCATCTGAGTCCCCGCCGCTGGTCCGTCACAAGCTCTTAGTGATTTTGGGGATGTGAGGTGCTGTCCCTGCTTTTCATTGCATTCACTCCAGCTCCTCGCAGCTTCCTCGGCCGTTAGCACCGTACTTCGGGGGACTCAGCACGGCTCTGCCTGCTGCTGGCTCTCCTCTTCCTCCCACCATACCCTTCCAGAAACTTCCCTGACTTTCTCTGGTGCTCAGGAGAGCAGACAGTGATATATGACTGCCCTCTTCTGTAAACCAGACCTGACCCACTGGAGGAGCATGAAAGCCATTAGTACGTGAGCCTGCCTGGTAGCAAAGAAGGGTATGAGCTGCTCCAGGCGGGGCATAAAAATAACTATATGGTGCACACCACCGGGATTCCTGCAGTTACTCAAGGTTCCCCGCAGGAGCCGCACATCAGCTGCTGCTGTTTTTCTCCATAGTCAAAATGGAGACGGGTGGGATATCACCCCATTGCGTGCAAGTGCCGAGTTGTTTTTTTTGTGGAAGCCACTGCTTTCCTCGGTGGAGGTGCTTTGGGAGTGGAGCGGTACCCCATGACCAAGAGGTGCCTTGACCCTGTGCCCTGCTTGTAGCTTCCCATACCCTGTCTGCTGTAAACTCAGTTTTCAACCCTCTTTCCTCCCAGGCTCTCCAGGTGGCACGGCAGCTTCTACTGCAACAGCAGCAGCAGCAGCAACAGCAGCAGCAGCAGCAGCAGCAACAAGTTAGTGGATTAAAGTCTCCGAAGAGGAATGACAAACAGCCAGCCCTTCAGGTAAGGGGAGCCTGTGTGCCTCTGTGAGGGGCTGGGGCTTGTAAAAGCTGAATAAATGTGTCTTACTTGTGAACACTGGGATGGGCCCTTCAGGAGCTTCCTCCCAGTGAAGTCCACAGAGCAGCTGTGGCGTGAGGACCGGTGCTAGGTGCTCTTGAAAATCCCACCCACGACGTATTTACAAATTGTGAGCATGTACTTTGGGTTGGATCATGACAAAATGGAATAGCTTTTGTTACCATATCAGTGTGCATAGGAGATTTGCATTAACATTTCTGTTTGATTGCTGTTCCATTTGTAGTCTCTGTTCACTCAAACCGTTGATTTGCTGTGTCAAGGATATTGGGAAATACTAGGATATCGTATCATTGGTGTGTTTTTTCCCCTTTTATTGTCTGCTGATTTATGGACATCTTCAGAAATAAAATCTAAATATTATCGGGCTTTGTGCTGTTATGAATTCAGAAAGCTAAAACCAATACAGCATTCCCAAACAGAAGATGTATGCACACTTATGTGGCTTTGGAGTACATTCTGCTAGTCTTGTGGGATAAATCACGGGAGTTAAAGACAAGAAAGACCTATTAGCTCATGTATCACATTTTCCTTTTTTTTTTTTTTTTTTTTTTTTTGCTATTCTAGCGTTAGAAATTCCAAATGGTGGTGGGACCACTATTATTTTCCTTCAGACGGTTTTCCATAACAAAGCACACGCTCAGGAACTTTCCACTTTAATTCCATCCTCTTGCTCCAAGTAATACGGCTTGTATAAATACTGAGTCAGTCCCTTGCCTTGCCTCGTGTTCACACTCCTCAAACATCTGAGATACCAACATGTACTTGCCAGTTTTGGCAAATTATATGTATCTAGTTCTTTATGTATTTTGTAAACCGGCACTTCTAGACCCTTGACCACTTTGCTGGTTTGCAGCTGGTTATTGCTTTTATTATTGCTCTCTTTGCAATTGCAGCGTGTCACTGTATTTTTGATAATAAGTTACTGAATACAGCAGTTCAGCTGCAGTCACACAAAGCCCTGTAGCTGGGACGTTTATCTTATCTCGCTCTTCTATATCTGATGCTTCAGCCTCTGTAGCCCCAAATTCTTTCTTTTTTTTTTTTTTTTTTGCGCTTGTTGTCATAACACGTTGTCAAGCTCATGTCTGTTTTGCTCTTTCTAATTTTTTTTTTTAGTTTGATATACTATCACCGTGAGTTCCCTGACAGCATTGCTGCTTCTCTTGCCTTTTATATGTGCTTCAGATTATTTTCCTCCAAAAATACGGATCCTAGACTCTTTAAATATGTAATAGAATATGGAAGGTAAAGCCAACATCACTAAAGGCCTTGACAGTAAAGTGAGAGGACCCGATCCTGCAGTTTTTACCCAAATAAAGCTGATGGGGACTTAAAGGGGAGTTTTGCCTGAGCAAGGAATAGCTATTAACTTCAGCCCTTGGCCCAGCATGGACAACTTCTAGTTTTTGTGTAGTGATTTCATCTTCAAAGCATTTTGCAAATAGTAATCTCCAAAACATCCCCAGAAGGAAAGTCTGATAAGTAAGTAGCATTATCCCAGTTCTGGAATGGGAAACTGAGGGAAGCAGGTTAAGTGACTTGCTTAGGATCACAGAGGGAATTGGGTTTAGAGGTAGGATTAAGATTCATGAGTTCCTGGCTCCCACCCCCGTGCTTAGGCTGCTGGACAACACCTTGCACTTTATAGCTGAGCTATTATTCTTTTGGAAAGTATGAAGCATTTTGTCATTGGGCAAATATACGTTTTATTGGCAGCGTAGAGTGCCATAATCCAAAGCGTTACATTAATGCTTTCAAAAATATTTTATTTGGTAAATCCATAGCTGATCCATATGCCTTCTAATAGACTCTTCCACTGGGGACATTTTTAATGAGAGATTGTGCTGGCTAGGTCCAGTGTCAGGTACTAAAAGAAGTGCTTTGTTGTGCAGATGTCTTAAGAATAGCTCCAGAGGATGAAATATGCCTGTGTTGACCTTTCAGCTGTGAGCTTATTTGTCAGGATTCAAATAAGTTGAAAGGATCAAACCAAACAGTTTCCATAGTCAGACTGGGAATTGTGTTGCAGAGGTCAACAGTGAAGGCCACATCGCGGATTCCATAACATAGCCAATTGTTGGTACGTATTAAAGTACTGGAGCAGCTCCTGCAGGCAGAGACACAATTAAAATTCTAATTTATTAATGTATACAGAGAGCTGGCCCAGCCTGTCACTCACTGATTCAAATGACTGCCCAGTCTTTTTTTTTTTTCCCCTACTCACTCCTGGTGCTTTTGCGGTCTTAAACGTACTAGAAGTCCTCTTGAATGTAACAGACGCCGAGTGCATCCCTGCAATGAAAATCTGTTGCTGAAAGGAAATGGTGGTGCCGGGGGTAGAATTTTTGAGTAAAACTGCACCCACGCAAGCACCCACACCCCCTGAAGTCGGGTGGCGCCGCACTGACGAGGCAATACCTGTTGCTGACAGTATGTAGAATAAATGTCGAGGGTGGTGGAAATGCACCCGTTTTTGAAAAGTTTGCTTAAATAATGAACCGAATCATCTTTGCACTTAGTTTATAAATATAGATGTCTCATTGGATAGCCACAGCGGTTAGCAGTTACTTATTTTTTTTCCAACAGACTTCATGCATAACGAGAATACCACCGGCATTGCTTATCTCTGCTGTGCTTGGGGAGGGCACTGGCGAAAAGCTCCCTAACACTAGTGCTGGGGAGCTGTGTTTGCGTGAAACGGGGGGAAGGGATACCGTTCACTCGGGGTGCTGGTTCTCCTAATAAGATGCTCCATGGCCCTGCCTGCCCTGGGAGCGGAGGCTGGCGGGGTCCCACGTGGGGCTGGAAGAGCTCCCTCCATCTTGGGCTCAGCACTTTAATGCTGGCTGGCAGGCTTTGTCATGTAAACCCCACTGCCACAAACAGATACGGAATATTAATCTGGTATACGCTGTGTAGCTAATCTGTTATCGCCTTGTGGATAGTTTCCTATATTCCTTCTTTATTCACTGATCAAATAGCCATGGTACTTAAATATATCTCGGCATCCCGTGGCTGCACTGGGGCATGGTGCCTTCAATAGCGTTTGCATGACAATGGGCTCCAGCGATGTCTTTGGGGTCTCTTGACCTTGGTAACTCTACCTGGAGACCTGCTTTTAGCAAAGTTTGAGATACTGAGTGTATAAGAACTTGGACACAGGAGTGGAGATGTGCTCTGCTTATAGTTGGGGGAAAAAAAAAAAATCTCCAAATACACGATGACTCACATTTTGAGCCTATCTCACACTGCCGTGCTTTATATTTGGCAGTGACCTCCGGTTTCGCAGCCTGATGACACAAACAAAAGAAAATTGAAAGTTAAGGAATGGATTTAGTAACCAGCACTTGGGAAAAGAATATAAAAAATATCAGCCCCACAAAAATTACTGGAGGTGAAAAAAGACTAAAGCATGTTTGATAATATATTTGCCATAGACATTGGATTTCCTTGCGTCTGTGAAACAACTAATTTAACAGGCCAGGTATGCTTAGGATTTTGAAAATGTGCACATTTTTCCTGGCCAAGATAAATATATCTTTGTATTAATAGATGTATTGATTAAAATTTGCAGCTTTAATTGCTGATACTCTTAATGATTATTCATTTTGGTTCTTCAAGCATTTTAGTTGCTGGCAAGAGCACACAGATTGGAAACAAATCAAGAGACACATTTTCTCCCAAGAAAGTAAAAGTGCATGTGTGTTTTGGCAATACTAAAAATACAATTTTTTTTTTTAAAGACATAAATGTTGTGTGTTGCATTGAGCTGAAAGTTGGATATCAGACCGAAAACAGATTTAGGACATCCAAGTCAGTATCTTGCAAGTGAAACCCATCGCTTGACTTTTTTATGTGATTAAATGAGATTTGTTGTATCATAGTTAACCTGCGTGTGTTTGGAGAGAAGAAATAATGAAATTGCTAAGATGGAAACTTTTGTTTTCGGTTGACAAAACAGAAAATAAATCTTCCCTTTAAGTCACGGCCAAGAAAAGAATTTGGGTTTGGTTTAGATTTTCGGGCTGAGACTGGGGGAGGCTGAGAGGACAGAGCTGTCCTCGCCTTTGCATACCGCTGCTTTTTAAAGCAGCCTTTTGGCTGGGCTTTTGTAGAATTTAATTTGCATGTTATATTATCTTAGTATTTCTTTCCAGTATCTTGAGAAGTAGAAGAGGGCAAGAGGAAAAAATCACTGTAGCTTGATGTTGGGGGCAGTTATTATTATTTTCTATGAAATTCGAAATCGTTAGCTCGACAACGTAATAGACACTGAAAGGTGAAGGGAAGGGTATTCTCTGTTTCGCTTCGAGCACACAAGTACCAGGTTACATAGCCTCAGGTTTTACACGCAGTGTACCTGTTTTACATAGTGGTAAATTTAACAACTGGTAGAGAAATTATGTCTCAGCAGATAATTTGGGAGGGGAAATAAATTTGCAAGTGTATTTATTCTATTTGTATGAGTATCTCTCTGTTTCACCCTTAAACATGGGAGTTGATCTGAATTTGGCCTCAGTCAAGCCAATGGGAATTTTGCCACCAACTCTAGCTGGGTTGAGATTTCACTTTTACAGAGTTTAAATAGTTTTCTAATGAAAATTTCACTTGAATCCTTCATTTTTTATTTTTGACTTTGGAAATAAAGCAAAGTTGAGTTTTGCTGGTTTCTACCAAAGGACCCATAGCTCTTTTATTTTTCATCCCTAAGCCCAGTTATATGTGTTAGTCAGTTCTTGGAATACGCCTGTGAAGTGCAAATATCATCCACCCCACAAACAGAACAAAATCTGAGTCAGGTCCTCAAAGTTACATGATCAGCTTGAAAATTTTGATACTAAGGGTTTTTTTCAGTGAAACCTGTGGGCCTTTTTTTGCTGCCCTTTCATTTTTTTTAAAGCCGTTAGTATTCAGTTTTTCCA